GATGATATTTACATGTTATTTTTTTTTAAACTCGCCAAATGCTTTTCACGTTTCCTTTTCTTAAGACAGAGGACTCGGGAGTTGCCTCGGCTGGTGTTTAAAACTTATTATTTTGTATTTTCTGCTGTCACACATTATGCAACAGACCACTACACTTAGCGTATACACTTTTTTTTTTTTTTTTTTTTTTTTTACCTTAGGTAATTCAGCCACGGCTCGGGATTGGCTGTCATCGCTGTGATGGACACAAACACTGGCCAATCGGCGCTCTCTCCGTCGATCGCTGGCAGAAAGCGCGCTGCTGATTGGCTGTGGGTGAGGCGCTGACGGCGTTAAGTAACTTGTTGTCATGGTGTGTGAACCCTCAAAGTTTTAATATCCCAAACACTTTAGGTGAGCTGTCAGGCACCGACTAGCCTCCGGGACCTACTGCGTTTTTGTGTTTATTGATTCTAATATTGTTTCTTATGAGCTGCTGATCAGCTCTGAAACATTTTATTGCTCTTAATTGCAAAGGGTAAAAAAAAAAAAAAAAATGACTACAGAGATCCCGGAGATTTTCAGGTCTCTTCTTGAGCATCCATTTACTCTCCCGAACTTTGACGAAAATGGTGAGTGACATCAAACTGTGAAATGTGGTTTCTCGGAGTTTGTGATTTAAATAACTTGCAGCACCGTTTGGTTTTTTTTATGCAAAGAAAGTCGCTGATGTCGAATGAGCGTTTTGAAAACTGATTCATGCATTTCTGCAAACAACTGCGTGTCTGTTGCGTAATCCCTGTCAGCTGATCTGGACGGGACTTTGTGCCTTTTGCTGGACTGTGGAGATCTGCTCCCTGGCTTTAATTAAAACGCAAATGTTAGCAGGATTCATAAAGGGGAAGCGATGGAGGAAATACTTGTTGAACAGCTCCAACAGGTAACAGAAACAATGCAGGGACGGATTCTTCAGCTGTGTTGTCTTGTTAGTACTTTCGAAATAAAAGTAGCTATATTTAGTAGTCATGGATTTGGGGATTAATTACGTGGTGACATTAAGATGGTGCAGGGAAATAACTAATGCAGTTCATTTAAAATGTCATCACTGAGGTAACAGTTTCTGATCATCTCTCTTTGGCTGCTGCAGCTGAATCAGATGTCTCTACCCGCCTGACCATCTTACCCAGAGGAGACCATGATCCCAAACTCATCTTCACTATTGTACATAAACTGTCATAGTCAGCCCCTAGTTTTTTCTCCACATTAAAACTCATAACACTTGTTAAAGAAATATCCGTCCATACACAGTGAGGTTAACATGTTAACACCAACTGGGGCCTAGTAACTTTATCAGAGGCCCACATTCATTGGGTGATGGTTCAAACACGCTGCTTTTCCCCCTAAACAAATCCTGTCCACTGTGGTCTGTTGACCAGATAAAAGAGAACAGTTTACCCACTGATAAGGAAGAAGATTATGGCTGTTAATGTCCTTCTGTTTGATGCTGTGGTACTAAGTGGATGTTCTGGTTAAAAAAAAAAAACTCGTAACCCAGTCTGTGTGGATCTGTTTGTCACCTGTCTTCATCAGTCAGAGTGTGTGTGTGTGTGTGTGTGTGTGTGTGTTGGAGAAAGAGGCTGGTGGCTGCTTTGTAGATTCTTGATTAAATCACTAGATGGCTCTGTTTGCCTTCTCTGGGCCATATTTAGATAAATCAGATTAGGGTCATATGATTTCATTACACTGAGAGCTGTGCTGATGCTGCTGGCCCCGTTTTTATCAAGATTTTATAATCACTTCTCAGTCTGTGTTTTGTTATAGGAGCTTCTGAAGAACCCCACAGAACAGATGTCTGACTCTTTCAAAGTATAATTAATTAATGACTTCGTAATCACCTTTTCCTTTCTTCCATACAAGTGAAAGGTCCAGGGTTATAGTTCATTTGCCACTATTTATCATAATGAGTAAATAATAAGGTATTTTATGGATTCACTGCTGCATAAATTATCTGGAGATATTTTTATTATGTTTAGGTTTTCAGAGCTGTCCAAAAATGGTCACATAAACTGTAGTAGTTTGGGAGGAGCTCAAGATGAAGTTATGAGGTCCATGACTATGACTTTGAAAGTAACACAAACATGATGGTGAAATTTTAATTTTGGATGAACTGCTCCTTTTATTATGATGCAGTTTGTGGGCCATGATCATAGGCTGCAGTGCTTGCAAAAACAGTCTTCTAGCAATCTGTCAAAGTATGACTGTAATTTGAGCCCCCATGTGCTGCACATGACACACACACACACACACACACACACACACAGACATACACAGGTGACTAGGATGGAGCAGATTTACAAAGACTTGACTTTGAAAGGTTCATCTGTATTTCTAGATTATGTTGTTAAAAGTGGCCCCTTAACTTTATGCACTGAGTCACATACTGTAGTTATATGTATATGATCTGATGCGGGTCTCAACAGCTGTTTCCCTCTGAGTTTAGGTTGTATGTAGGTCTCTGAACCTCCACACAGAATCCATAAAGCTGTCAACAAAGCAGAGCAAATACATTAATGAATGTACATGTATGTATAGCGTATGAACATGTTAATCTGGTTTAAACTGTCATGCCAGTGAAATCCTGGCTTTTTGTATTCATTTTGTAGAAAACTGCAGTCATGATGACAAAGCTTGTTTTTTAGAGAAATCCATTCACATTTCATTAAAGTTGCCTGACAGTTAAAGATAGCACTGTGGTCAAACACTAGATTTGTTGCCATGCCGCCACGTGAGCCAAAACAGCCTGAGTCTGCACCTGTTGACAGGTCAAATGTGCTATAAATTCCACAGTATATCCCACAGGAAGTGGGAGGTTTTCAACAACTCTGTATAATGTGTTATGTCTGCCACAGAAAAGCACCCAAAGGTATAGAGAAACATATTTGATTTTAGCGTGTATGGACTTTTTTTTCTGTTTTGTTTTTTAAATATATAATTGATGTCAATATAAGGAATCTAAATAATATTTCAGTCTATGATGTAATTGAAAGTGTCTTCTTTCAATGTCTTAAAAGTCACAGTTTGAGTGTGTATATGTAAAATAGCAGGGGAGAGGTTGTCTGAGTTTCACAGCTCAAGCACATGATGTGAAGGTTGAATGAAAGTAGTTTTCTACAAATCTTGTTCTCTAGTTTTTGCAGAGCCTCGCTGAAATAGAGTGCCTCATCTCGTTTTTGTGATGTAGACTGTAGCATAGAGTGAGTTTCTCACTTTATTGTACATACTCTACATCAAGGTTTTAGGTGATTGTTGTTTAGGTATATAAAAAAAAAAAAAAAAATCTTGGAAAAGTTTATCAGCTATTGTTCAGGTTTTGAAAATTTGTAAAATGCCATTATACTCTTACACTATCATAGTGTATCATAGTGGCAAACATAAGGATAATGTTTCTAGAGTGAACGGGAGAAATGTTTGTGTGTGTGTGTATAGCCAGAGGTTTTAAATGAGGTAATGTGGTCCATTAGTGGGTGAATTAAAAAGTGATGTTCAGCATGAAGCCAGCGACCTTCACTGAGCTCATGCACGTTCTGCAGCTGCTGACCTTGAAGGTTTTGTCTCCTCGTAATGTTGTGCCAAAAACAGATTTTTTACGTGACACATATGAGCAGCACGTGTGGAAAACACCCCCCTCTCTGCAACACCTTAAAATTCCAGCTTTTATCAACTGGATGGTGTGCACAGCTGCCTTTTCTTGCAGTTTATTAATGCAGCGATGTTGGTGCAGGAACATACTAAAGAATCCATTTAGTACCACAAATGCACACATTGAAAAGACCATTGATGTGAAGAGTATGTCCTCTTTTTTTAAATGCGTTCATCTGTCAAAGAAAGCAAGATGTGCTTGCATCAGTATCATGTTTGGTTGAAGATCAACTGTATGTACATCCTGCTTTGTTTGCAAGTACATTCTGTTCTGTTTTTCATTTTAATACATGAAAAATGATGAGATGAAAAACTTTTTTTTTGAGTATGATTTAATGAGTCTATAGTGGAGGAAATTCAAAATTTTTTTTTTTTTTTTTTTTGGAAAACAAGCTCTTTACTAATGCCTAAAGCTGATGTGGCAGAATTATCAGCCATCATATCAAAATGAAGCAGTTTCTGTGAGACCATGTATGTTTCATGCTGTTGTGGCAACACAGGATTAGGACTCGACATTAACATGCAGATCTTTGCCCTTGGCATGTCTTGGTCTTCTTGGTTGCAGCAGTGTGCATATGGATGTCGTAACTTAAAGCTCAAGGCGCTACTTGCACGGCCAATTACACCCGGCACTGGAGCGCCGCCCTCCCTGCATGTTCCTGTATGTCCGCTCCTCTATTGGACGGCGCCTACAGATATGTAAGGATGTCAGCTGCACGTGCTTTTGCATGTGAGCGGAACAGTGTTGGTGCAGCAACATAGGGACTTGCTGTACATTAGCAACGTCCTGTATGTTCTTCTTGGGCGTTGCCTTTTTCTTGAAGCTGAAAAGTAATTGAAGTTGCAAGTTAAAAATCGTGTCTTAATACTTATTTCTGAAGATGATGTGATAGCACTGCATAGACTGATAACTAATTGTGCCTTACTTGGAAGTTGTAAAGCCGGTTTATGTGTCTGTTCGTATAACATTGAAAAACTGTTTAAAACCTAGTGATGAATAATATATGAATGGAGGAAGCGGTTCCCTGCAGGAACACATTGGGTCCACGTCACGTAGTATAGCTATATGGACCATGTCAATATTTTTTTTTTTTTTTTTTTTTTTTGCTCGAGACACGTTTTTCTCTTAATATGTTCAGTGAAACATATATATAACTCGGTCAACCAATGAGATCTCGGGTAATTGCGACTTGACAACCGCCATTGGCTCGTCCTCGCAGTCCCCGCCCCTGCCTTCTCCGGCTCATTTAATATTCATGAGGATGAGGCGAAGCCCGCCAATCAGCTTTCAGCGGGGTGGACATTTTTAACCAGGAGGTACAGTTTGTTCACGACGCCAAAAACCCATGAGTACTAAATTTTCCGTGGAAGTGGGTCAACGCAGCGAGCAGCCCGGGATGCACTGACGGTTGTTGTTATATTTTCTCGTGAATTTTGTGTGTGTAAAACCGTTGGACACAGCTTGCGACGTCAGTTAGCTAGTTTTGTCGAGCGAACAGGACAACCGTTGAGCTCGCTTTTTCTTTTGTCGGTTACTACGCGGTTATCGTCAACAACAAGGGGGGGAAAAATGTCGGGAGAGCCAATTCTCATCACACTGGAAACGGCCACCGGGGCCCCTAGCTCATTCCCGGTTGTTTTGAAGAAAATAATGGAAATGCCTCCGCCGAATATACTGGACGGGGAGGACGGTAAGTGCAGTAAATTAACGGAGGGGAAAGGGTGAACGGTTGTTGTGAAAGACGGTGATAACGTATGTGCAACGGTACTAACATGGACACCGCATACACTGACACCATATGTTGAACACACTACATAGGCCTCTCCACTCTGTAATGTGTGACCCACCTCACCGTCCAGGCTTTTCTAGACACGCCCCTGACTTTAAATGCTGTTTTTGGTTAAAAACACAGTTCCAGTGACCACATATTTTGTTGGTAGAGATGTGTAAGTTACGGATATGTGAAGGAAAGTGCGTGACGTCTCGAAGTGGTAAAAGTTGCGCATGTTTCCATTTACTTGTTTACATTTATACCATAGTTATTTTGGTTATGTTAATGATATTTTCACGTGTCGCTTACGCTATCACTGTTTGTTATTGTCCCATAGGGGATCAACAGAGCATTTGGAGCATGTTCACATAGATCCAATCAGAGCTTTCTACAATAGTTACAAAAAATTGATAAATTATGTAATCAGAAATGTAATATTAATATTCAGACAGACCGATAAACCTCAGCAAAGCTTGGCTTGTCAAAATGTTGAGATATATTGTTGTAGGTCGCAGTGGAGAATTGCATTTGTCATATGTAGTAGTTCTGGAGACTGAGAGGTCCCTGTTACTGTGAAAGGTGCAATAAAAAAAATAAAAGAGCACTCAGCTTTCTGGCCTTAGGGACATTTCTGGATTGGGGTCTCTTTGGAAAAGAAAACCAAACATGTCCTGCTGCTTAACAAAGGGTGCTTTCCTGTTGACCTCCACTAAAGGCACTAAAATGCGTTTCGTTTACATGTGAGGGCAAATATATCTATCCATATTTGTTAAAAAACTTACTCTTGTATTTTCTCTGTGTTTCAGACACTGACAAGGAGAAGCTGTGTCTGGGAGAAAATGCCGAGCTGGGGGGAGGAGGAAGCGATATGGGTCCTTCAGCCGCCCTGACTCCTGCTATCTGGGAGAAGACCATTCCCTACGATGGCGAGAACTTCCACCTGGAGTACATGGACCTGGAGGAGTTCCTTATGGAGAATGGCATCCCCACCACGCTTGACGAGGACTCCCTAAAGAGCATAACAGAAGGCGGTGCCACCAAGACAGAGAAACCTAAGGCTGCTCTCTCTGTAAAGACAAAGGTGACCAGGCCAGCAAGTGTGTCCCCAGTGGCCCTGCTGCCCATTCAGGAGTTGGACCGGTGTGAGGAGGAAGTGGTGATCATCACCAAGAGTGACTCTGATATCATCTGTGATGTTACTGCAGGTGAGTGGAGGGGGTAGGATCAGAAACTAGAGGGCTACAGGGTTTCACTACCTCTTGCTGAGTAGGTATTTTACCTCACAGAAAACCTGTTGTTTGGGTTGAGATCTCTTGCAACAAGTGAAATTCTAGTGTTTTGGAATGGGGGTGTAGTGAGGCAGTTTGCTGTGTCATACCACCTACACTCAGAAATAGATTGACCTAATTAGAAGACATGAATGTGCTTGCATCAATGAAAGAGACATTTGGCGCTTCAGTCTTCTATCCACTATTAACTTTTCCCGTCTGGTTGGTGTTCATGTTTTCACACAACCACATTTTTTTCTGAATGTCAGTTAGCATGAAAGTCCTTGCAACCAGTTTCTGTATAATAGTCATATTTATTTATTTGGCTGAGATGTCTGGAAAACATGATACATATTGTGAAGCTGGTGTGAAGTCAGAATGTCACTCAGTCCTGAAAGAAGCCACAAGTGGCAACAGATGGCAGAAATAGATGCTGCTGCTCCTGCATAGCAAAGATAGTAGAGTTAAGCACAGTATTATCAGCAGACTCAGTCACCCACCCCGCATACACAGCAGAGTTTACGAAAAACAATACTAGCTTTAGGGTGGGGCACCTGTGAACCAGCATTACCTCTTAATTTACCAGTTAGACAGATGTGAACTGGCTAGTTCACGTATGTTGCAGAATGTGTCGCTGACCCTCAGTTTGATCTGCAGCTATCTAATATTCCAGTTCCTGTGTTCCTCTTCTGTCTGCTCAGAGGTGACCACTGAAGAGGACAGAGCAACCCCCGAGCCCATCGACCCTGATGAGATTGAGGTTGAGATCAACTACGAGCCTGATCCCACAGACCTGGTCCTGTCAAGTGTGCCTGGGGGCGAACTGTTTGACCCACGCAAACACAAGTTCACTGAAGATGAGCTCAAACCACAACCTATGATCAAGAAGGCCAAGAAAGTGTTTGTGCCTGATGAACAGAAGGTATGCTGGGAGAGGACGAGGTGCCTCTTAAACACAGAAACCTACTTTTGCAGTTCAGCAGTTTGTTTCACTGTGTGTGTAGTTTGTTTTATAGAAAACACCACAACAAAAAGGCAAACTAAAGCATAAAGCAGGGATCAACATGTAGGGTTGTGCACTCTAGTTTTTGTAATGAGTTTACATTTGGTAAACATTTACTGATGTTGTTTTCCAGAATTTTTTTTAGAGAGAGCAAAACAGCAGAGAAAATAAGCTCTACTTCTTTGAAGTGTAAAGCAGTGAATTGGAAATATGTTGTCTTCATTTGCTAATTCATGTTGGTCTGTGCACATGTTAAGGTGTAATATTCATTTCTAATTTAGCTGACACTGTGCTGGAAAAAAAGTCTGAAATTTGATGCCATCATAAAATCATGCTACCTTAATGAAATAGAGTGAAACAACTTCATTGCCTTGTGGTTTCATCAGCCAGTTTCCCAGTTTAGTGTGAAGGAAGTAGACATAGCAAAAAAACAAGGCCATGTCACAGTGAATCTTTTCTAGCAACTCACAGTGACTCAGCAATCTGATAATCTCAAAACTGATGCCTTCCTCCCTTTCCCGTCCACCAGAGAACAGTGGTTTTGTTTACATGCACAAAGGAGCTTGGCTGTCAGCCATATTACAAACTAAGCTGAGGTCAGACTTGGGTAACGCGGCTAATGCGTTGATAAAAAGGTGTGATGTCGTGTTTCTTTGACTCAACGGATCCCTTTGTTTGTTTTTTTCCTCTCCACCTCTGCAGGATGATAAGTACTGGCAGAGGAGGAAGAAGAACAACGTGGCTGCCAAACGCTCACGTGACGCCCGCAGGTTAAAGGAGAACCAGATCACCGTCCGAGCAGCTTTCCTGGAGCGTGAGAATGCAGTGCTGCGGACGGAGGTTGCAGAGTTACGAAAGGAGTGCGGCCGCTTCAAAAACGTTGTGGGTCGCTATGAAGCCAAATTTGGATCAATGTAAGGGACCAAAATAAAGCATATGAAACTGTAAATGGACATCCATGTAGCAAACAGCACAATATCAGTCACTTTGTTTTATACAAACTAGGTTAGAGACACCGTTGAGTCCTGATTGTTGGCTATGTTGACAGATACCAAACCTACTACTGTTGAAAAGAAGCCGCTCGGCTGTTGTTTGGCCAGAGATAGACAGAGGAGAGGGAGGGAGAATAGTACACCTGTTAGGGTCGCCAGTGGTGTGGGTTGAATGAGTCGAAAATGTGTCATCTGACCTGACATTGACCCTCCTCCGGTGATACACGCCGTCTTTGGAATGGGAATATAATGTATTAAAGGACATTTTATTGACCCCCTGACTCGTCCAGTCTCATGATCGGATAAAATGTGGGTTGAATGCAGGTTCAGTAAACTAGTGCGATGCCTGCTGCTTGTATATGAAAAGGATATCAATGACTTCAAAAAGTTGAACAGGGAGGCAGCCTAAATTGCAGTTATTTGGATTAATTAACAAAATAGCCACACAGTGAAGCCTTACTAAGCCTTCATGTATCTTGTATTGGCAAATACTCTTTCTTAATTCCCCACACACTGCCAGACCCTTGATTGACTAACTTACCTATCGTGGTCTAATACATATTTAATCAGGTAACACAAGCCAAACCCTGTGATCATGTGAATCATGTTCCCGATGCTTAATGTTGACCTCTCTCCCTCCTCCCTCCCTCCCTCCTCATTCATCCTTGTTCTCTTCTCTTTCAAGTGCGATGCCGGAAGACCAATAGACAGCAGCCGATTTATTCATTTATTTTTCTAATGAATCAATAAATCAAAACCATTGAGGGTTGGTATGTGAGAACACTAGAATCGATCGGATGAAGAAGAGGAGGAAGATAGCGTACGTGAGGGCGTGACTGTTGTTGCCATGGAGACGCAATAGCATGTTAAGACCTGATATCTGGTTTTTGTTTTTTTGTTTTTTTTATGACTTCTATTTGCCATCCATGTGAGTGAGATGAGTGTGAGAGGATATTCAAGTGCTTCTTCAGTACACCTCTTTCATGAAGTGTACTTCTATCATGTTTTGTATGCCTTTGGCCGAAAGAGATCATTTGTGATGAACTGTGGGTTTTATTTCAATTTTTTAGATGGTTGATATTTAGGCAGCAGTTACAATAGTTTAGACTAGATTTTGAGTCAGTTTTGATATTGTAGAAATAAACTGGTTTGCAGGTTGCTTTCAGTTCTTTACACATTTTAATGACTTTTGAAACCCACATGTCCATTTTTGTTTTCAAATTTATATTAGTATGGCAGATATGTAGAGAACTGGGCTTTTCTTTCCTCACAAAAACTTTTGATTGTGACATTTCCACTAACTTAAGCTTCTTCAGGGGATAACAGTGACGTGGCTGAAAAAAATGCAGCCACGTTTACTTCTCTTCACATAAAAGAACTTCTTACCAGCAGCACAGGGCTGTACATAAACACTCTGTTCTCCCTGTTTCAATGTATGTCTTGCAGTCGCTCTCGTGCTGTGTTTGTCACTGAGTAAGACGCCTGCTTGAGTCTCTGTAGGGTGTCATGTGACTCGTCCATTTACGTCAGTAACGCTTCAGAATTGTTGTGTGTAGAACCCACTGATGCATGTACTGTAAATAGTTGTAGTCTAAAATTATGCTCTATTTTTTTTTTTCCAATATTTTACAAACGTATTCAGTCTTGTAGGACATGAGAACTCAGATACATTGCCAGTTGAGTTTTTGAACAGGTTCTCTTTAGTCAAGTGAATATCAAGCAATTAAATTGTAAATTTCCTTAAAGCTTATCATCTCTTGAAGAGCTGACATTTGCCCTTATATGGCAGTGTCTCATCTTTGTTGGATGCTAATGTTGCTCTTTAATTATTGCTTCATTAAAGGCAGCTGGTGGTGAAAGGTTAAACTCGTTAAGCCTGAAAACACAGACATTTTTGTTGATGTCGTCTACTACACAGCTCTTATTAAAGTAATCAAGCTCGTATTTCTAGTAAATTTACAAGTGCATTCCTTGAAACAACCAAAACAGTAAAGATGTTCAAAACCCTTGACTGGAATGTATTTGCATTTAGATTGAATAATCTATTAAGTTTTTTGGGATGTGTTGGTGGACTCACTTATCACCCAACTTTTTTAGTTCATTTTGGTCTGAACTTCTTCAGAAATTCTCTCTCAGACTTGGAAGCTGGCAGTGTCTGTTGCCGGCTGATAATTTTTATTTTTTGACAAACCAAGAAGTCTCAATAAATACAGACTGTATTGGGGCATCTTTATTTTTTTATAAAATAAAGAACCTCGAAATATCTAAATGTCTTCTATGTCTAAAGCCATTTCAATGCAGGGTGCAGTCTGGCGGTTTACAGGGGTTATACTGTTGAAAATCACATCCAAAAATTAAAAGTTGTTACCCAGGATTATTTAACTGTCCAATTCTGACAAAAAGGGAAAGGTGGTCTTTTCTGCTGTGCTTCCACTATAGACTTTTTTACCAAGAATTCACTGTAAGTCTTTTTTTTTTTTTTTTTTTTTTTTTTTTTTTTTTTTGGGAGGGGTCGATTTATGAAAAATTTAATTAAATCTAAACTGATATGGGTTATTTTATTAACAACACACCCAGCAGTAAACACAGCTTCATCTATTCTCATCTTTTTGTGTAAAAATGAAGCGCAATCTTCTCTGTGGGGTAAAACTACATCAGGATTGCCACATTTATCCAGTGGTTCTTCTGGAAATAATTTTACTCCCAGCCTCATTAATTTCAGTCAAGAAAGAGTCACATTCTCCATAATACAGTCTCCAAAGTGTAATTATTAGTATAATTTTGACATGAATGATAATGTATTTCCTGACTTGTTTAAATATTTTTAATGCTCTCTGCTATAATAGAGGTTGCATCTGCCTTCTACCAAGAACAGGTCAATTTGTTAACTTTGAGGGGTTGTTTTTAATCCTCCTGGTTCTGTCTTTGTATTTCTTTGTAAAGAAACATCTTGGCATTTTAAGTGTGGCTACCTTTTGTCTTGTATATACAGTATGTATAAATAAAGCCTTGTTGAAAAAGTGTGTAATTGATTTTTCATAAGGACGTTTCTTTATATTCTGAGTGAGCTGCTCATCTTTAAGTCCACTTAGCCATTGCCAAATGATGAATACAGAGATATCAGATAGTGATTTCTCTTGTAACACCAAAGGGTAAAATCATTTTTTTTATATTTTAAAAGCTTAAATGACAAGTCCAAATGTCCAGCTGTCTCCAGGACTAGACCTAAGCATAAATAAACAAATAAATATATAAATCATACAATCTATGCACCATTCTCAAAATATCAAAGTTTAAATGTGAAGTGTGTGTGTGTGGACTCTTTACTACATATTCATCTGTCAATGCCTCAACATCATTTAATTTGGTTCTCAACAATCTGAACACAAGTCCACAAAAAATATATTACACTTATAGAGGAAATTTGCTACTGGTTGTTTTCAGCCCACTGTGTACTGCTGGAGTGAGCAAAAGATGAAAAGTGAAACACTGCCATCTGCTGGAGGAAGGTGAAGGACACGCGAGGAAAAGAAGCTGCAGTTTAAAGGTGATACAGGTCAACATCTTCAACTGGCACACGTTCAAATTCAGCCTGTCAGACAACCGATCAGGAGTTTAAACAGCATCATGTGTAGTTATAGAAATGGAAGTGTTTAGTGAACAGGAAGTTCACCTTTGGTCACGATGAAGAGCAAATTTTGTTTTATGGATGAAAAGATCTTAAAGTACATTTTCATGGCCACTAGGCAAACTCCTGCTGCTGAAGATCATGTATATGATCAAAAGCTCCAGGACATGAACTAAATGAATCTTGAGGTGGTATCATTTTGTGAACTGTTGATTCCAAGGTAAAGAAGAATGAACTAACTTTGAAACTCAATAGGTTCTTGTTAGAATTTTAGTAGGTAAAATGGCTCAACTAGCCCATGTCTATGTCTAGTTCAATAACCATTCATATTGAACATTGTGTGAGCATGAGGAGAATTTCAAAACCTTGACTCTTAATATGTAAGTAAGAAGTCACACAGAAAAAAAGACAGAAAGTATAAAACAGAGTTTTATTAACAAGTCAAAAATGTTTCTCGAGGTTTCAAAGAAAATCTGCAAAAGCTGAAAAACTAAAACAGGGACTGGACTGTAGTGTCTTCACCTCTTCTTGAAGCCATACTTCTTCCTTTCATAAAACAGATCCGTTTTAGAGCTGCCCAAGTTTACAATCTTCGGACATCCATCTCGCTATAAAGAAAACAGGAAAAAGATTGTTAAAAAAAACATTTTCATTTTGCACTCAGGGTTAAGTTTAAATTTTAAGTGCTATATTTTATACAGGTCAGTACATCATAACGAGTAATGCAAGATAAAAAAATCATAAATATGGCCTGGTTAAATCCACAAACACTTTATTTTTCTATTTAGACACTTCACTCACATCTTTCTCCTGGATGGTGCACTCTTTACAGTAGTAGGCATCAGATACTCCCGGCCCTCCACAGATGACACAGCGTCCCTGATAGGAGCCGTAGTTACACTCATCACAGATGCGCACCAACGTGCACGGCCTCACATAGGAATCGCAGATGACACACTTTCCATCACCTGAGAGGAACAGGGAAATGAAGGATAAGAGATATTTTATAGGAATTTCGTTAATAATTCAGTTTGTAAAATAACGGGATAAATCCTTTTTGAAACTATCCAAGTTTAACTCAGATATCGTTGAGCTGCTTACTTTTCCAGCAGCCACATAACGGTGTAGACTATAATGTGAAATGTGAATTTTGCTTGATATAGCTTCAAACGTTTAATAACAATGTTTACAGACTGTAACAGGTTGTAATACATATGTAACTAATTGCATAATGCATGAACCCGTACTTCTTTATTTAGCTGAGAAAACATGATTGGGTTTTGGTAGTGTTGGAGTATTAACATGTGTGAAGGCAAACATTAAACTGCCTGATTAAGTGGACCTAACCTCAACGTAACTACGAAAAAAAAAAAGAATACCGACTTATGGTAACAGTTTTAACAAATACCTTTTAACGTAGAGGAAAACACACGACAGTTTAAACACTCAGTCTGTTGTATCGGACTGGGAAGGGAATACTTACATTTCTCGCAAAGTCTCCCGATAGCTGAGGAATGAAAACAAAGTAGTCAGAGCCAGTCAGTATAGTCAGGCCATGAATTAGCATTGATAGCACCCTTCTACATTGGAATACGTAACGTTGTTAACAATAAACCATATTGTTAGATATACCGAAATATAATATTTGGTGAAAGCGAAATGGACCTGGAGACATTTCTAAGCTAGCACCATGTCTAACATACATTCAATGAAATCCATGATGGAACCGTTAGCATGGTAGCTAGCATGGTATCTCTAGCGCAAAATAACAATAAAGAGCATCAAGTAACAGAAAAAAACAATAAAAAAAACAATATTAGATAAGTGGTGAGATGAAACAGGTCGAACCATACCAACGCCGGCTTGTTTCCTGCAAAAGATCAAATCTGGATGATGTTTAGCCATTTCGGACCTCCGTAAGGCGAGCGCTGCTGGTTTGTTTCAACTTTCGCCTTTGACCTGTAAACTTTGTATGAGAAGTTGAATTATCGCCCCCTAGCGTCTCCAAATTGAAAGACAAAAGAAACCAATCACTGATCGTATCCTCCTTTTTATCTACCTTTTTATTTTCTCAAGAATATGTACCATAAGAAATTATTTTCTGACAAACAATTGTGACAATGTAGGAATAAATCGTTGTTAATTTTAACTTTAAAAAATAAGAAGTAGAAATAAAATAAAAATCATTCTTGTCCTTTGAGCTATATAGAAATCAAACAAATATTAAAATTATTTCCCGTGCATGTACTTCTCTAATTTATATTATATCAAATATATAAACAAACTAAAACTTCTGTAGAAATCTAAGTTTGAAATACGTTTTGTAAACAATCTGAATACGATTTAAGATGTTAAATATATTATTTCCTTAAAGGACCTGCGAAGCCGCGGCTTACAATTGTGTGACGTCACCACCGATCGGCACATCTTTGTCAGTGAACAAAATGGCAACCTACTGTCTGACTGTCGCCAGGCTTCAGGTAAGAGGAAATTTGACCATATTTATAACCTAGTGAGGATGTCACCTGCTACCTTAGATTATATAAATGTAATGTAATGTGTTTCTAACCTAACCAGAGGACTGAGAGTTGTTACTGCAGATAAAAAGGCTGTGAAACAGTCACCGGCTGTCTGGCCAGGTCATCGTGCCCCGGCTGCATTGAGCGTATCCAGTGGGCAACAACTAGTTTGTCAACCGGCTTAAAAAATCACGGCTGATCTCTCCGTTAACAAGGAGTCATTATTGACACCCTCAGCTCTTAAAAGAACACGGCTAGGCTAGTTTTTGAAATGGAGTTTGGTGTTCGCTAGCAAGGTTAACCACAAGGTTAGAGCTCCCAGCAGGCACAGAGGCGAGCAACGTGTAACGGTCAGAGAAAATATCAGGAAAATTATAACAATTAAAACAGCAAACTCAGTCTTAATCATTAATTTGCAGGACTGGTACAAGAGAAACTAATTCATTCAGTCTATTAGATATAACGGGTTGTGTGCCATATGTCCTGTGACTGCAGTGAGCTGTCAGATTTTACTTACAACGGGTCATATATTAACGTAACATTCAGCTGTCTTTTATTAAGTGTTGTGTTGAGTCAGGAAATGGTCTGTAGTGTTACTGCTGTGTATCAGAGCTGATATATTTGGTTTACAACAATGGAGAGTGAATAATAAACACCAATGTAGTGCTCAGCCTCATTGGCCTTCATTGGCTTTATGATTGATGCCTGAAACTGTAATTAGTTTTCTAATTGATATAGGAACTTTTGAATTGGCTCCTGAATTGACTGACAGCTACACTCTGCTATTAGCTCCTTGACAGCAAAAGTCAGCAGATTAATGACTGCAGGCTCAGCTGCTTACTGTCAGTTCTTTACCACAGATTATCTGGTCATAGGCGACCTTCAGCTGCCTTCTTTTATCTGGAGACTGTCTCCTGAACACTCTTACTCTTTCCTGGTATTACCTTCCTTTACAATCACGCATTGGAACATAATTTTTGAAACAGAGCTGCCTGTAAATGCTCAGTCTTCTCCTGGCAGTTACTCCTCAGCTTCACTGGAGTGAGTTTGTGGGTGAAGTGTCCTGCTCAAGGGCACCTGAACAGGTCCAGGAAGTTGATGTGGCAAGCTCCTGGACACAAGCCAACATCTCAAAGTTTCTGCCCCTCTTTGTCTTGTTACCTCATCAGCTGCAAGCACAGCATGGCACAAATTTAGCTTCTCCAACATGTATGATCATTTACACATTGCAGTTTGTTATTTTGGGGATTGGAGCCAGCGTTTCCTTAGAGAATGCGTTGATGGTCAACCTTATGGGGGTGGGGGGGGTGGGATGTTTCTCAGGGTTAGGATTAGGGTTAGGGTTCACTTGGGAAGACTTGACATGTGACACCAGAGAGTAGACCGCAAACCACCATTGCATTCACAAGATGACTTCCCATTAGTCATTTTCCTGTATCAGTATGATGTTAGACAATATTTACACAGCTGTTTCAGTGTCTAAAGATACAACATCAAAACAAAAATGAATGAGGGATAGTCTGTTTGCTTGAATGCAGTCTGTTCATGGGCAAAATATGTGATTATGCTCATGCTTGTATGTTTTTCTTGTTGTTGTCTCCAGCTGGCGCTGGGCCATGGCGTACGGCGCCTGCATGTATCAGCAGCTTACAGAGCCAAGGCACAAGTGTCTATGAGCCGGTTTGAGCCCACTTCTTTCGTCAACTACGAGAAACTCCAGTCCAACATTGACATTGTGCGAAAAAGGTTAGTGTTCTCCTACTACTGATCTAAAAGTGGACATTTGTGCAGAATGACGCAGACTCGTATCACTGTTCCCTCCCGCATTTCCTTATCTGTGGGACTGTTTGAACTCGATGTTTGTTTGTCCTTTGCCACAGTTTTTTCACCATAGGTGTAGCCTTTTTTCTAGTGTTTCTGCCTCACAGTGCTTAAATTACTGTAAAGTCATTTGTTGTTCAGAGGGTGTGTGCATGTAAGGGAGACATAGTGCTGTGTTGTCCCTCACTTGTAAGTCGCCTTAGATAAAAGCATTTGCCAAAGGAGTAAATGTAAATGTTGCTGGTGTGCAGATCAGTGGCTTCAGCCCTGTAATTACTCCTGAGGTTTAGACTGGCATAAACTGGTGATCATAAAATGACACAATGAAGAGGTGAAACAGAGATTTCACTGTACTACTGTAGGATTTAAAAGAAAGACTTTGATTTGCAAAGGAAATGGATTTTGCTTAAAGGGGCAAATTGTAAGTTTTGCTATTGCTGCATAGCCACAGTTAGCATCAAACTTCATTACTTTACTCACTAAGAGCTGTCTCCAGCAGCGGAAAGCAAGCCTCTTGTTTTTTTCTATTTTTGTCAGTTCTTTTCTTCAGCTGAAGTTCACATGCTAACCCGCTAGCCATTACCAAATACCAAATCATTGCAGTGTGATGCTATCGTTGCTTATTGCTGATGTTGGCTATGTATCAATAGCAAAACTTACAAATAGCTTCTTTAAACCAGAGTAGGAAACGCTTGATATTTACTTTGGATCAAATTGCATTTTTAACACCGTAATCTTCTCACTTCTGAAGTATTGATATTTATTTTGAATATATAAAAAACTGTATGTTTTACATGCTTAACCTAATAACTGCTTATTCTCCACTTTGTATTGGTTATGTTTACCTATGTTCTCATCCTCTTCGCCCCACTGAACCTTCGCCCTACTGAAACCTCCTCTGACATAACAGCATCCTTCTGTCAATAATATTTTGTTTTCATGTTCCAGGCTCAATCGACCGCTTACGCTGTCAGAGAAGATCGTATACGGCCACCTCGATGACCCCCACAATCAGGACATCGACCGCGGTCGCACTTACCTGCGGCTGCGTCCTGACCGCGTGGCCATGCAGGACGCCACGGCCCAGATGGCGATGCTCCAGTTCATCAGCAGCGGCCTGCCGAGAGTGGCCGTGCCCTCCACCATCCACTGTGATCACCTGATCGAGGCCCAGATCGGAGGGACAAAGGATCTGGCCAGGGCAAAGGTGAGGGGTCTTGTTTGTATGTTTAAATGATTCATTCTTGTTAAAATGCTACACAGAGCTCGTTAACATGAGCTTTCGTCATCGTTGTCATCCTAGGAAGTCAACCACGAGGTTTACAACTTCCTGGCCAGTGCTGGGGCAAAATATGGAGTTGGCTTCTGGAAACCGGGCTCTGGAATCATCCATCAGGTGTTATTGCTTAAAGTCTAACTGCAGCTTTGGTCTGACTGTAAATATACTTTTAGAATACACTTGTAATTACACTGCTATAATTATGCTAACAGTCAGACTTTTAAATCTAAACAGATCATCCTGGAGAACTACGCCTACCCAGGAGTGATGCTTATTGGCACAGATTCCCACACGCCAAATGGTGGCGGGCTTGGTGCCATCTGCATTGGAGTCGGAGGAGCTGATGCTGTAGATGTCATGGCAGGAATTCCATGGGAGCTGAAGTGTCCCAAGGTCAGCAGAAGATAGTATTTTACAGCTGTCGGCATCTTTTCCATCTCTTTGTCTATACAGTGGTTTTCTTTTCTTTTAACGTCTTAACTGCAATTTACTGGATCTCTCCCTCTAAGGTGATTGGAGTGAAGCTGACAGGCAGCCTCTCTGGATGGACCTCACCTAAGGATGTCATCTTGAAGGTGGCCGGCATCCTGACAGTGAAGGGAGGCACTGGAGCCATTGTAGAATACCATGGACCAGGAGTCGACTCCATTTCCTGCACAGGTCGGCGAAAAAAGCTTTTTCCGTCAGACTTAATTACACTTCAGTGTCTCTTTCTCATTTTGCTTCGTAGCTTGTTTGTCTCTTGTGTATTATTCCACACAAGGGAAAACCTTTTAACCGTTTGGTGTCAGCCTGACAGACCTCATTCATGTGTCTCTCTTTTTGTGTGCAGGAATGGCCACCATTTGCAACATGGGAGCAGAAATTGGAGCCACAACCTCAGTTTTCCCTTACAACCACCGCATGAGGACCTACCTGGAGAAGACTGGACGTGGACGTATGTTCAGGCTTCACATTTTACATGTCCATATTTAATCATTTTGTACAGTGATGATCAGCTTAATCATAAAATGCTGACACTATACCCTAAAAGTTGTGATAGTTGGTGATATCTTGGCTTTGAATATGGCCCCTGACTACGGTCTCAACAAAATTTAACAAAAACTTGATAATAAAACACAAATATGAAGGGCATCACAGTCATTAAAAGAAATGAATAAATAAATATAGGGTTGTTGTCATGCTGCTGTGTCTCAACACTGTCCCTGTCTCATGTTTCTTCTCAGAGATCTCTGCCCTGGCCGATCAATACTCAGACTTGTTGGTACCAGACAAAGGCTGCGAGTACGATCAGGTCATCGAGCTCAATCTGGACGAGGTCTGTCCTTTTTTTTGGCATTGGCATTTTTGGCACTTCTTTTGGCATCTCTGCCAGGTGTTGGATAGTTCAAAGTGGAGAACGATAGGAAGTGCGTTGAGGGGGTGACATGAGACGGTGTCGTAGTCCAGACATATACTAGACTTTGACGATGTCTTGTTAAATATTTCGCTATCATAGCTGCAGAGTGTATGTGCAAGAGGTTTAGGTCACAGTCCATATGACAGAGCTAATAACTGTGTTCCTTGGCCATTCTGCTGTTTCTGTCTGCAGCTGAAGCCCCACATCAACGGACCATTCACCCCTGACCTCGCTCACCCAGTGGCTGACGTAGGAGCTGTTGCTGAGAAGAACGGCTGGCCACTGGAGGTTAAAGTCGGTAAGAACTGACCCGGTGGTGGATACGCTGTATAGCTTTATTCACACTCCTGCTTTTTACATCGCCTAATTACAGAACACAGATCAAAATTACCAGGATTTTCTTTTGGAGACTTCCTGTGTTGCTATTTCAGTTCTCTTTTTGATTCCTTCCCCACTTCTTAGGCCTGATCGGCAGCTGCACCAACTCCAGCTACGAGGACATGGGCCGCGCTGCTTCTGTGGCCAAGCAGGCTTTGGATAAAGGCCTGAAGTGCAAAGCTGAGTTCACAGTCACCCCCGGCTCAGAGCAGATCCGTGCCACCATCGAGAGAGATGGATATGTGAGTGGCAGCACGCACAGAAAGCGAGGAGTTGCACCACACTCAGAGTAATGATTTAACCCTGGGTAAAGTGATGGAGGCTTACATGTGTTTTTGTCTTCCTGTAGTCAAAGGTCCTTGGAGATGTTGGAGGTGTGGTCCTGGCAAATGCATGTGGGCCCTGCATCGGACAATGGGACAGGTAGGTAAAGCCAGAACTTTGGTGGTGTACCCACCATGGCGTACAGAGTCATACAATATAGAAGTTAGACATGGCTGTTAATATATGTTGTGCGTTTTTGTTCAGGCGTGACGTGAAAAAGGGAGAGAAGAACACAATCGTCACGTCCTTCAACAGAAACTTCACTGCCAGGAATGATGCCAACCCTGCAACACACGCCTTTGTTACCTCCCCTGAGGTAAAATAATCCACACGACTAGATGTGCAACACTTAGTTAGTTGTGATGGTATCAGTGTACTCCGGCTAAACACCCTGCATCGCCTCTTTTTCCTCAGATTGTCACTGCCCTCGCCATCGCGGGCACATTAAACTTCAACCCAGAGACAGACTACCTGACAGCCCCTAACGGTGAGAAGTTCAAGCTTGACCCCCCCAACGGAGATGAACTCCCCGCCAGGGACTTTGACCCAGGCCAGGACACCTACCAGCACCCACCCGCTGACGGCACCAGCCTTAAAGTGGACGTCAGCCCCCAGAGCAACCGGCTACAGCTGCTGGAGCCCTTCGACAAATGGAGCGGAAAAGATCTGGAGGACTTGCGGGTTCTCATTAAGGTCAGGTCTTTGAAATGACGCCCGGCCTGTTTTAGTCTTTATTATGGGGGTTTTCGCTGCTGCTGCTGCTGCTGCTGCTGCTGCTGGAGAGAGGATCACTCTTCTTTGCGACATCTTTGCAGGTGAAGGGCAAATGCACCACAGACCACATCAGCGCCGCCGGACCGTGGCTGAAGTTCCGCGGTCACCTGGACAACATCTCCAACAACATGCTGATCGGTGCGGTCAACAGCGAGAACGATGCCGTCAACAAGATCAAAAACTACCTGACAGGAGAGTATGGAGGAGTCCCTGATGTTGCCCGTCACTACAAGGTGAGGATCACGGAGAGGAAAGGCTCCGGTGCGGGATTATTGGGCTAAAGCCGATTTTCTTTGGCGTCATGCCTCTAGTTTCCTCAGGTAGTTTGTCCGAGAGCTTTGTCATGGTTCTAAATTTGGATTCACAGACTTGGAGTTGGCCTCGGTTAAACTTTTGTTTTGTCCTCCACTGCAGTTTCTTCACGCTCTTAAAAATAATCATTTTTACCTCTTTACTTTGCTCTTGATTTTGTTCTTTTTATTATTCATTATAATCTCTCTTGAATTGCACTCACTTCTGTTTGAGGCATAACAGTCACTGACCCATGTCCCACTGAATCATCAGATAAATGCCCTTTTTTTTTTTTTTTTTTTTTTGGCACGTTACTGAATTTACCGTCTTTCCATGGTGTTGTGAACAGGCCAACGGTGTGTCGTGGGTTGTGGTCGGGGATGACAACTACGGTGAGGGCTCCAGCAGGGAGCATGCAGCGCTGGAGCCCAGGCATCTGGGAGGAAGAGCCATCATTGTCAAGAGCTTCGCCAGAATTCACGGTATTTGGGGAACGTTTATGTAATGTGATTTTTTTTGTAATGTCATTCAGTCTCCCAATCAACAAATATGTCTCCCTCCTGTCCTTAGAAACTAACCTGAAGAAGCAGGGTCTGCTCCCACTGACCTTCACCAACCCATCAGACTACGACAAGATCCGTCCTGATGACAAGATCTCCATCAAGGGACTCGAAACCTTCGCTCCAGGAAAGGTAAGGGCGCGTAGCAGCTGGAAAACTGGGCTGCTTACGCTTTGTTTTACTCCCGACTTTTGTGCAGCTGTTAATGAAAAGCGTTTGTAATGAAATCGTCCGCTCCTCCTCTCACCCTCCGCAGCCTCTGACCGCCGTCGTGAAGCACGGCGACGGCAGCACGGAGACCCTGGAGCTCAACCACAGCTTCAACGAGACACAGATCGAATGGTTCCAGGCAGGCTCCGCCCTCAACAGGATGAAGCAGCTGCAGCACTGAGGAGGAGGAGGAGTGAGGAGAGCAAACGTGGAGGAGGAGGAGGATTTTGGGGAAGAACGAGGGGGGGGGGGTTGAAGAATGTTGACGACTGCTCCATCACCTGCATTAGCACCCAGTTTGGACTGAAGTAAAGTGTCGGTATACCTCGAAGAGTTGAATGTTAGTAAATTACTTCAGACTCAGTGCCACAGCTGATGTCGATGATGGAACGTGTCAGCTTCATTTGTCAGAACAACGTGTACTTGAAGGAATCGTAAGCTGCTGCGTTTCAAAGTCAAATAGTGATAACTGGTTCCAAATCAAAAGTCTGTTTGTGAAAACAAAGCGGAGACACGCAAACATACACACACACACACACACACACACACACTTTGACACACTATACACTCTGACCCAGTCGGTGACGCTGCCAGCTGATGTGCTGCCAGTGTTTTTGCAGCTGTTCAAACAGATCAGTACGGCGTGTGAAGCCGCTGCAGACTGGAGCCGGAGGATGGCAGTCTTGTCACCTTGTTGCTTTAGGGTTGTGTTGCACTCTGCATGGCGATTACCCGCTTTTTTTTGTCAGCCGTTGTCATTTAACCTGTTCCCCGTGTTATTTTAAAGTCCACGCCGGGGCAGGTAAACATTGCTATTGGTTGGGTTCCATTTTGTTGTCTAGTGAAGCTGTAGTTGCAGAGATCAAAACTTGTGTGCACACATTCGTTTCATCCACTCAGACACTTCCGGTTTAGCCTGAATGCTCCCTACTGGCCACGAGGAGAAGCTGCAGTGTCCACACGGCACAGCAGCTAGCTGTTCTTCATCTAAACCCCCACTGGGACATGTAGGAGATCGCATGACAGCATGAGGCAGTTTGAAAGAAAATGGATTCAACATAAATCTAGAGTCAGATAACGGAGCATTGTGGGATGTACTGAACATCACAGATTACGGTACAACAGCGGGAACATGTCCCGTATTACAGTATGTTTTCATCCATCACCGTTCATATTGTCAGTGTTACATTGCAGACATTTCCTAATAGACAAAGGGACTTGTATGCTTTAATACTGTGTAAGAATGCAGTAACTCAACCTCTTCTTCCCCGATACATCCTTAACCTCCCCTCCCGATCAATACTAAACTCTTTACAAGGTCAAACACATCCTAAGGTTTTTCCCCATTGTTTATTTATTTATGTCTTTCTTGCAAAAGGTTCAGATCCTGTATGAGTTTTTCATAAAGGTTTCTTTTGTCACGCACAGGTTGAACTTGGATTTATGTCCTTCATCCTGTATTTCCAGTGCCCTTTTTTTTTCTAGGGGTAACATGTCGCTCTTTGTGTTACCCTTGCCCCAACACAAATAAAATTGTACTGAAGGAAAAAAAAAAAAAAAAAAATTTGTAGTTTGTAATGGTGGAGGAAAACGGATGTTACGCTGTAAATTACCACGTACTTGATTTTAAGTAATGTGGCTGCTAAATCCAGATTATTGTGTCAGCTGGTTTTTGGTCCTCGATGGATATAATGAACTGAAATTCACTCCAAAACCTCAACATGGGAGATCACTTCAACAGATCAGAAACAAGCTGGGGGGGGGGGGGGGGGGGGTGTTTTTTTTTGTCCTCATGAACCTTCACTCACCCAGTCCCTGCAAACAAAATGCACCAACAAGTGAATCAAACGACGGCTTAAACCACTCCATTCTTCTAATGCCACTGTATGTAAAGTGTCTGGCTCCGTGTACATTTCAATGTTTTTCTCCCAGATTATCTTTTCTGTATTACAGAAATGCCAGTGGGTTGTAAAATAATAAAAAAATCAGATGTCATTCATTTACTTTGGCTCCAATGATGTGAAGTGGGGAATCTCTAAAGTGGTCTCGGGACTGTTGAATATCATACGTGAAAGATAAACCGGATTAAATGAACAAATTAAAATCCTGTGGTGAATATCGTGTTAAGCAGGATCCTAGCGAGACTATGAAATAAAAATGACATTCAAGAGCCAAGTGTTTATCCATCCCTTCAAATGTGAATCTCTCTCTATCCTATCCTGAGCGACAGGTTCTTGACAGCCCAGATGTTTCTGCACAGCCGAGCTCACACATCTGGAGAAAAAGGGAAAAACAAGCTGCATACATAACGTCAGCTTTGTGTCGGCACAGGAAGGAATTTACATCCGACACATTGTGATTTCTGATTCTTTCTGTGTGAAGAGAGCGAGAAGAGTCGTGGGTGCTTCTGATCAGTAGCAGTTGGGCCTTGATTTATTTTGAATATTGTCTATGAGCCTGGCAGAGCAGAGGGTCAGGTCTGACTCCAGCAGCGAGGAGCTGTGGGATGAACTGGAGACCAGGCTGACGTTAGAGCATTTAAGCTGCATGTTTCTACCCATGCCTGGCCTCATCATGGTCACCAGTGAGCATTTAAACTGTTGTCATCCCTCCATAATGAGACGTTTGTCTTCTCTTATGCGATTTGTGCAGAAAAAAACTATCTGAAAATCTAGCAGTCATTGTGAAATGTCACAGAAACAAGAAGCAGCTTTAAAGGTCCGGAAACGATTTTAAATGGAGGAATTTGTTTCCACTGACTGAAGAACATTGAAAAATGGAAAACAGCAACATGATGCAGAACAACAACAATACTGAACCTGTACAATATAAGAGCAAATATACATTTCAGAGCAGTAAATGTCTAATTTGTAGAGTTTCTATTAAAAAAAAAAAAAGAAAATATGTGAAAATCAAATTAAACTACAAGCATCATATTTACCACAGTAAGTGCAGACCTGCAGAAGAGGCCTGCTGCTCTTAAAGTCAAGTGTCTCCCCATGTCATTAATTAAGCTTTTTTAACTTCAATATACAACAAAACAGAAAATTTATACAATAATATAAAACATAACACAGGCAAGGTAACAAGTGAACAAAAAGAATCCAAAACACGTTTAAAATAATGTCAAATAATTATAAAGAAAAAAGGAAAAACCTTAGTTTGAATCACTGTTTTGTTGACTTGTCAGGGACATGGTTAGCATGTGTCAAGGTCAGTGTGTCTACATGTTGTTTGTCCACGGCTAACAGGGCGGGACGGTTGCAACATGTTGTTGTAGCAGCCAAACAAAACACACAACAGTATTTTTCAACTTTTTTAGATCAAAATAGACAACATATGTGTAAACAGATGCAACTAAAATTGGCCATCTTTACATGTAAAAGAAAACTATTATTTTGCGTTTTATGGTCCATAATATATTTTGCCTGTTGTTTTCATCATGAGCAATAAAATAGATAAATTGTGCTTTTTTTGACTTCATGGAAGGACTATGTTCTAAGCAAATCAAAACTCAAAAACTGTTATTTTATAGATTAAGTATTACTAAATAAACAAATACTGGTATGATATTATTGCATAAATAAATAATACTACTATATTATTGTAAAACAAATCATATTGTCATAATACTGAAAGTTAGTTGGTGAAATTTAATGCACATTCAATATGTTGCAACTGTCCTGAGGGTTGGGATCAGCTGCAACATCTGAATTCTTCTTTTCAAATAAATATTGTGCATGACACATACAGTATGTAATCACCTTTCAATGTTGAGGGTAATTAGCAGATATAAGTGTAAATGTTTGGTTGGTCCAGTCCAAATAGAAACTGAGAGAAATGAGAAAGGTGTTTCCAGTTTGCTGTTAACTTCTTGAAACTCCATTACCTGTAAACCCACCTGCAGATTTATTATTCCTATTAGAAAATATGCAGACCAGCACTTTATCACAGTCTTACATTTACAAAGTGGTCCACTGAATCTGAACATGAGACTAGAGTTTAATGAAGCCTAGTATGAAATAAATCTGAAATGCCAAACAAAAACAAAAACAAAAACATAATCAACGCCACAGTATGACAGGAGAAATAATAGGCTAATAATAATAATAATGATAATAATAATGATAATAATAAATGGATGGAGAAATGACCCGGTGAAGTATAGTATGTACCTGGATGGTTTTGAAGCAAATAATAATAAATAAATTAAAAAAAACAAACAGTAAATTCAACATCCAATTAAAACCTCACTGTGCCGATTAAAACATGAAGAAACGTTTCCATCCATGACCAGAACAAAGCGGTGACTGTGGTGTGCTGAAGCCCGCTGTTGTCTCTGTAGCTCAGTAACCCCCTGCACCCCCCGCCCCGTCTCTGCCGCCTCCTTCCTTTCTTTCTTTTTTTTTTTTTTTTTTTTTTTTTTTTTTCATTTGCTGCTTTTTCTTTTCCGCCCCGTGCGCGCCGCATCCATACCAAGATCCTGTGACTTATCCACCACATGTCCCCGCAGCTTGCACCGGATTTAATTACATAATTGCCTCGTATCACCTCAAAAAACACGAGGCCGCGGCGCGTCTGAACTGACAGCTGATCGGCGCTTTTCACGGTATGTAAAGCTTTAATCGATCAGGGGAAGGGGGGGGGAGAAAGGGGGGGGGGGCGGTGATTTATGGACGATTTGTAGCGTGGTTTTTTTCCACATCAAGCCTTTTATTCTCCGTGTCACGCAGACGGCGTCGGATTAAACCCAGTGTTGTGTTGTATTGATAAAACCCCGCCGTGCTGCTGCTCTCTATCTCGCAGCAAAGATTTACCACCGGAGTCTTCTTCATCTTTTTAAACGTGGCGGCGTTTGTTTTTGGTTTTTATTTTTTAAAGCACAGACGCGTTTTGGTGTCACTTTTCTTTTTTTTTCTTTTTTTTTTGGGGGGGGGCATCAGTCGAGCATCCTCTCGCCCTCTTGTCTCAAGCCTCCACAGTGTGAGAATGTTCTGGAAACAACCCGCCTGAAGGGCTTTTATTTTGTAATGAATTATTTAGGCTCAGCCAGGCTCACATTCAAACTGATTTATACCATAAAACACACTGTTTGTCTCCAAGAAAGGCTGATTTAAAGTTTAAACACAGAGCCTTGTGTGTGTGAGTGTGTGAGTGTGTGAGTGTGTGTGTGTGTGTGTGTGTGTGTGAGTTGACGTGTCTCCCATGCTGATGCAGAGGGAGTACAGACAGCCACAGTGCCCCTGTTTCACATTTAGGGAGGTGCTTTTGGCCTTTTGTCTGTCTTTTCTCTCGCTCTCTTCCTTCCTCCTCCTCAGTCCACTCTCAGATCAGGCCTCTCTTTTCATGGCAGCCTGACACCCTCCTGATTGAACGTTTCACCAGCTCATCCGACACAGAAAGCACTGCAGACTCATTAAATAAGTCCATTTGCCGGCCTCGCTCTCGGGCCCCATAATGAGGGGGCTAATGAAAGAGGAGCTCCACCAGTCAAGTTGCTGAGTAATTTAAGGCTACACGGGCTATTTATGCCTTGTCATCCATCAGTCGTGGTTATCGGTGCCACCGTGACGACAGATGTGTGTGTGTGTGTGTGTGTGTGTTGATCAGCATCGTTGCATCTACATGATTCCAGGAGGATAAAAGCCTCAGTCATCAGCCATTTGCAGTATCTGCTCTCTAAATGAGCTTATGAACCAGACAGATTAAAGCCACTCCTATGATGATGATGATGATGATGATGATGTTGCTGGGACCTTTGCACCCTTGTAATATTTGGACATACGGACAGACGCCAACCTAAACCCCACTACTCCTCTCAAATCAGGACAGTGGAAGTAGATAAATCTTGCTAAAGGATGTTACAGTTGCATCCAGTGAGAATCATTGGCGCCCAGCAGGAGGAGGCTGGACCAATGAGGAGACACTGGGGAGAGGGTAGCGCCACATTTTGGAAACAGCACCACGGGACGTCATCACAGTGTTGACGCTAAACTCTCCAAATGTAGTAAAAGTTGTTGTTGCAGGATTAAAACTTGAAGAGAATATGTAGGTTATGACTTGTCTTTAGCCGCCCATGACACACACACACACACACACACACACACACACACACACACTACTATATTTAGACTGACACAGAGAGAGAGAGAGGCAGAGTGTGATATTGAGAGGAGCCTGTGGGATTCGCTCTGACACGCACTCGTCTCATCAGTGTGTGTCAAACATTCATCCTGCAGGCGTCAACACTAACGTTCACTGGGAGGCGGCTGCTGACGATAACCCCGATAAAGCATCCAACCAGGTTTCAGTGCGGGCGTCTAACCTCTGCAGAACGATGCCCCGCAGCTCTCTGTACTTGTAGTGAGTGTCATGACGACGCTGATACATCTGAAGTCCCACTTACGACGAGATAATTGGGTCTGTGTCGAGGCGCAGAGACGGAGCTCATTCGTCCCAAAAAAAGACTGAAAAGCTTCAGAGAGCAGCTTCTCGCTTTGAGTACAGTGGATGAAGAGCGATTCGTAATGGATTTTAATATAAACAAAGTGTGATGAGGCGAGCCGAGGCCTCTCCGCGGCAGGATTGTTATTTACATCGTCTTGGGACATTTTTCAAAGCCGGCGAGATCAGAGTCTGGAGACTTGGAAATCAAATTGCTTTGTAATTCTCATTTTTGTCACAGCTGCGATCAGCTTTAACACCGGTAAATAAAAGATCAGAGCAGCCCAACATCTGGGTCTGCTATCTTATTTATTGATTGGTTTTCTTTACAGTAGCCTTTTATATGACGACTGTCGCCAAGCAGCTACAGTGGAGAAAAACTTTTGCGGGCTTCTCTCCACACCCACCATCCTGCACCAATATTCAACATTAATAAATGGACAAATCAAATATATACGAGGCACAATATGCATTCAGATGGGATTTTCTTCTGAATGCTGTATTTAATATTTTTTTCAGTGAAGAAAAATCTGCCTAGAAAAGGAGCTTTTCAAAAGACCAGAATGCATTGCAGCCAGAAGACGAGTCGTGTTTTCAGTAAGATTTGATGAAGGGTGCACAGTATGTCAGCCTGTTTATCTGTATTGGGCAATAATTTCTTATCCGCCCTTCTCATTAATATTCCCAATAAATGACACTGAGTTGATGTGAGGATGATTCAGAACAAATGTGTCGCTTCAGCTTTGTCACAATTCATTTTTAAAAAAAAGTAATCCAACGGGCTTTTTGATGGTTTATTTAGGAACATTTTATACGTTATTTATATACAAATATATTTTCTCAGGGATCAACACTGCAAATAAAACACAGAAGAAGAAGAATAGAAGAATATGGGACCTTTAATTTCTCTTTGTCTTTATCCACCTCTCTCGCTCCTTTATTTCAGGGTGTCATCGCTCCACTCCTTCACTGTACGACCTCCTCTCTGAGCATCTCCCCTCCCTCTCTCTCTCTCACACACACACACACACACACACACACACACACACACACACACACACACACACACACTTGCCATGCAGGAGGTGTAACCCTCCTTCCTGTTCTTCCTTGTGTGCCATTGGAGGAAACCCAAAACAGAAAAGAAAAAAAAACAAAAAACACTCTACGTGAAACAAGTCAAGATGTCAGACCCGGACCCCTCCTCGCCGGCGGACTCCCCACTGCCACTCACCTCCCCGCGCACCCCCCTGCAGCTCTCCTTCCCCTTCCTGAGGGAGGGCAGCCGGGTTTGGGAGAGGGAGAGGAAACCGCCGCAGCCTGGAGAGCTGCCCAGCCCTCTGCCAACCAAACGCACCCGGACATACTCAGCGTGAGTAGGAGCGTACAGGCTGACTAATTACACAAAAATAACGCCGCTAATGAGGTAATGATTTATGATGCACTGTCCCTTTCTCCCTCCCTCTCCCTCCCTCTCTCTCTCTCTCTCTCTCTTTCTGTCTATGTCTCTCTTTCTCTGCAGGACAGTGCGAGCCAAATCAGGTCCAGTGTTTAAAGGGGTGTGTAAAAACTTCTCCAGGTCTCAGGGTCACGGATTCATACGTCCTTCTCACGGAGGAGAGGACATCTTTGTCCACATCTCTGAGTGAGTGACCTCACCGAGCAGCCATTAAGCCAACGGGTGAATTATTTACTGGCAAAGGGTTTTGTGGAAGTTGACCTGCTGATTAGGTGATATGATATGATGATAACCGATAGAACATCCATCAGAACCTTTTATTATTATTATTATTGTTATTTGCTAATTTTCATGAGCTTATAAAATAAAACAACAACTATTATTGGAGGAATTTGATTTTCCAGCTACAGTTTTAAACAAATCAGGGAGGGATGGATGATATGACTTCAAATCAATATCAATATTTAGATTAATAAACGATTACTTTGGTGTGTGTGTGTGTGTGTGTGTGTGTGTGTGTGTGTGTGTGTGTGTGTGTGTGTGTGTGTGTGTGTGTGTGTGTCGTCGTTTCTAAAAGTCTCAGTTTCTTCTCGAAGTCTGAAAACACAACCCCTGATTATGTCATAGTCGTGTCATCGTGGGGTTATCTCAGCTTGGTCTTGGAGACAACACATTTATAAAAAGAGAACCGAACATGTGCTGTGACCAGTCGTGATCTAATTAAAAATGCAATGAAGCTGCTTTTATGGGAAGTGCCGGTTTTCTGGAGCTGGACCCATACTAGAGACTAAAAGCCTGGACATATCTGCTGCATCGATTTTGATCATTGATTTTTAAATCTGTCTCTAGCAGCTTAATGGAAGTGCAGCGCTAAATTGTTGGAGTACTTGTTTGGGAGCAGGAAGACGTGTGAGCTGTGTGGAAATGGAGATTAGTGATGGAAAAATGCTGAAGAAACATCATTATTTGCTCGTTTGTCATTGTACCAAGTCGATTAAATCAGTTCTCGTGCCTGGAAGGTTTCATCAGGTCACAAAAAAGACAATTCAAGGTAGACGGAGACGGTGCCAGCTCAGACTTCATGTCACTGCCTGTGAACGAAATATCGTGCTGAGCTTGTAACGCCGTTTCTGCTTCTTCGACAGCATTGATGGAGAATACGTGCCTATGGAAGGGGACGAGGTCACATACAAGGTGTGCCCCATCCCTCCCAAGAACCAGAAGATCCAGGCCGTGGAGGTGGTGATCACCCACCTCAATCCGGGCACCAAGCACGAGACCTGGTCAGGTCAGATCATCAGCTCCTAGAGCAGCGCTTCAGGCTGCAGGGCTGGAAAAGGTCTCGGAGTGGAGTGGAGCCCGGCGGAGGAGACGTGGATTTAATTTATGTTTTCAGGGTGTGAGGGTTTGGGACCAGGTCTGAGGAGGAGAGGGAGCGGAGCTTAGCGTACGTCGTGGGTCAGCCTGAAGTGGCTTGGTTATGGGAGGGTGAAGGTTTTGAGTTTAAAGGACAGGGTCAGAAATGAAGCTTTGAATGTATATGTTTGAATGTTTTCTTTTGAAGGCCGCGGTTTCGTCGTCTGGGTTGAATGTTTTTTTTTTTTTAGTTGAGGGGTTGGAAAGTTAGTGGTTCAGGGCTCGGTGCTAGCACTTTTTACTTTGACTGTAGGGGATATATTTTAGTTGGGAAATCTGTGGTCGTTTAGAGAAGAAGTGTCTTTGAAGAGTCGAGTTGCTGAGGAAGCAGATGAGTTTGAGGCCGAAATGCATTTTGAGCGAATCTGAATCGATTTAGCCGAAGTACTGAAGAGTTTCATTTTAAAGGGACCAGCTCAGCGGAGGTCTGAATTTTACTCCCGTTTTTGTTTTTCGTTTTTTCTCAGCTGATATGAATCGTGTGCCGCCACTGCCAAAAGTCACGTGTCAAACGTCAGTGTGTCTGTGTTCACAACAGCAGATGGAGACGGTTGTCGGTAGATTTCAGGAGGATTAAAAGGATGAAGAAAACTGTAGTAACAGCCTGTTGTTTACAATCCGGCTTGGCTTAATGTGAAAGGAACAGATCTGCCTTCATCTCACTGCCTTCAGAAAATCATTTTCCAGGTTGTTTTGACATGCCACAAAAACACCAAACAAGTTTAATTAAAGTAAGAAATAAGCGCGACAACATTCAGTTCACTCTCAATGTGTTTCGGCCTCGAGAGCTGTGACAAGCTCCACGTGTAAGGAATTATTTTTCCTTCTTAATATTGTAGCACTACTGTATTTGTCGACTTGGCAAGTGTAGAAATCCAGTGTTATTGTAGCCAGCTCCTATGACGGTCACACGTTTCGGTGGTAGAGACAAGTAGACGGATGTTGTGCCGCTGGAAAACCAGGACCAGAGGATTTGGGGTTGGGGAAGGAAACTGAAGGAGTATTTGGGGAACGGGCAGAGGATGGAGTGACTATCTGTAAATGCACTTGAGCACAGGTGGAGCTAGATTTGAAATGTTGTAAAGCATGTGTAAAGGTGAGCGGTTCTCAACCTGCGGATTGTCGGGTTGAAATCGACAGAAAAGAAATGTAAAGAAATATTCGAGAAAATTGTTTGACAGTCGGTGGAAATGCGTTTATTTGCTTCCCGTCCAAGAGTTAGATGAGAAGCTCGAGCTTCCTGTCTGACTGTTGGCCAGAAAGTGAGTAAGCAATTTTCCCACAAAGTTGAACCGTTCCTTAAAATGACTGATGTAATCAAAAAAGATGAAGTTTGGAGGTCTGGATTTTTTTCTATCGCTCTGATAAATGACTCCCTGTAGTGAAATGTTTGCAGCCCTCAGGCTTTGGCTTTTTTCTCCGCAGTAAACTGATACAGGAAGACAAGTTTCACCATATCAAATTAAAAAAGAGCAGGATGAACTGCTGACTTTTAGGTTGAAGGTTCAGTAAGTTTCATACGTCACTGCAAATGTTGGGGAGAAATTATAAAAACAAACAAACAAACAAACAAAGCAGCAAAAGCTTCCTGATGTAAGTTTAAAAAGACTATTTATTTATTGACTTATTTATTTTGATTTGTAACTATGAGAACATCAGGTGTTTGGTAATTAAAAGCTGCGTTTATAAGTATATGTGCAAATCTAAGCCTGTTTGAATACACTGCACACCTCACTCTAATGATACTACCCTGTAAAAATCCCTTCGCTGATGTCACGTCATCGACAGGCAACAGAAGAAAAAAAAAAAACCTTCAACCTTTCCAAACACACGAATTTCTAATTTCTACATAACCCTTGTCTAATTTTTATTAACTGTGTGATGTTCAAAGTAACAAGCCGTTTTGTTGTTTTGGAGATCGGCATGTTCTGTATCGTTTGTCGTAATTTTTACGTAGAATATGTTGATCCTGTTTCATCATGCAGTAAGACGGTTGGAGCCTTCAGAGAGGCGACGTCGGGTCTCCTATGCATACTTTGATTTATCGCCACGGGTGTGACTCAACATCGTTGTTAACACACTGTATCTGTCCGGTTTTCTTTACTGTGAGAGAAACAAGTTCGATTGTGTTCGCAAGCACTTTTTATTTTTGTCAAATCACTGTGACGGTCTTTAGTCATTAAGATAAAGTTTGAATAAAACTTACTACTGTGTTCACAGACCTGTGTTGAGATGTTGATTATTCGGAAAATATAGCGCAAAGACATTTTCTCTCTCTCTCTCTCTCTCTCTCTCTTGTCCTCGCTGGTGTCAGTACAAAGTGGAATAAGTAGGGCGGTTATTTTGAGAGCCGTCGCAACTTTGAGAAAGTTTTTGCAGTGAGCTTTGCCTGGAGTCGCAGACAGCTGTGTGTGTGTGCGTGTGTGTGTGTGTGTGTGTGTGTGTGTGTGATTCATCTGGATTTGTTTTGGGATTTGTCTTGTGTTTATGTCCTGTCTCGCTGAAGTCCATTAGAGGGCACCCCAACACAAATAATCTGCCGGTTTATTACGCAACTCTCCTTGGTGGGTTTGAAACACACATGGGTCAATGAAGAAAAGGGAAAAAAAAAAAAAAAAAAAGGCCGCGGGTAAAAATAGCACAAACGGAGAAAAGCTAGAGCGGCCTTTTAGCTCCCTGACAAGAAACAGACCACCACCGACAACAAGCCTGACAACCTGCAGACACACGACTGTATTTCTCTGTATCACCAGGCGCTGGGCTGAGAGAGGCCTGTGAGAAAGCTGATACTAAATCATCATGTCTTATAAGCTCATCATGTGTTTTATGTGTTAAATCTTAATTTGTGAAGTAACTAGCTCTGAAAATAAACGACCCTGTTCAGATTGTCTTTCCAGAACATAATCGACTGCTTGTGATAAAGTCTCTCGTGTTATTCTGTAACGAGATGAATGATCAGAGGTTGCACCTGCGTTTGACCTCTCTCATGCACGTCGTCACATTTACTTTAAAAACTCTTAAAACTGAAGACGGTGTAAATGGTGAAGAACCTCAGTCTCTCTCTTTCACCTTGTGTTAAGCTCACCACCACACTTAAGGTGTCGAGTCATGAAACCTCTGCTGGGGGAGAAACACTGTGGCCTTCTGGGTAGGAACAGGTGGTGCCTAATATGCTAATGTACTAGAATAAATGAATGAAGATATACTTGATGAATTGAATATAATTGTGAGAGCTGAACATGTTTCAGGCTTAAAGAGAAATCAATGAAATAGACGATGATAATAATGATTAAAAGCAAACACAAGGATAAGCACAGTGAAGCAGAACAGATAGGACTTTAGTCAGATTCATTCAGACTTTGTTTGCTTAGTTTTCACGTATGAAATTTATCATTTTATATCGACCTGTATCTTTTACACACGGAGACTGCAGCTGTATGCAATCGGAGCCAAGAGTTTTAAAGTGTTTTCATTTGACTGAAACGCCAGAGCAGACGACGTCACGCTGCTGTAATCGCTCCAAACACAGGGCAAAATGTGTTTATGTCAGACCCTGTGGGACTCCAGGCTCTGCTGATGCGGTTAAATACAGAAGCACAGTCAGGATTTATCCCCCGGGGTGATAAAATAATCACAACAACAACCTCAAACAGGAACAAATACATATTTTCAGCCGGCCCTCAGCCAATCATTAACCAGATATGTACGTGATCAAGTGTCAACACGGAGCAGGTCCAAAACTTTCACAGAAAACACAGAAGAAATGTTCATGATGACGATAATGACAGGGAAATGAATGAATGAAAGACATTTTTATTGATTAGTTTTCATTTAGTTTATTTGTTAATTACTTTTTTTGCCAGGTTCAGATTGGTCGCCGTCATGTCACAGTGACCTTATGATTAATATTCACATTAAGGAGCGTAAGCGTGGGAAATTGATTAAGGTTTAACTTTCTGTGTTTGTGTGTGTGTGTGTGTGTGTGTGTGTGTGTGTGTGTGTGTGTGTGTGTGTGTGTGTGTGTGTGTGTGTGTGTGTGTGTGTGCGCTTGTGTTTGTGCTTCTATCTTTGTGAGGACCAGTTCCAGACCTTGGGAAAGTGAGGACATTTTTGGTTCGTCCTCAAAATAATTTAAAGGGCTGTTTAGGGTCAGAATGTGTCCTCACAAAGATAGAAGTACAAGTGTGTGTGTGTGTGTGTGTGTGTGTGTGTAGACTGTCAGACACCAGTGAACTGTCTGTGTGTTGACCGGCCATTAAGAGATTTAATTAAGGTGGAGATTGTACTAATTGAACGAGGCCACTCTCAGCTGATCATAATTAACTCCAGGATTAATTTACTTCATTAAGTCTTCCCCAGTGACAGTGTAGCAGGGTGTGGATGTGGTGCTGATTAACAGTAGAGAAAGAATCACAGGAGTGTGTGTGTGTGTGTGTGTGTGTGTGTGTGTGTGTGTTTTTACAGCTCATGTTATCTGTGATGACTTTTATGGCCCAACCAACCTTTGCTCTTCTGTTTTCTCTCCTTGCTTTCCTTTTTTCCTGGA